GGGGTGGGCGAGGATCCCGGCGGGCGGAGGGTGGGCGGGAGGGGCCGCGGCCGGGGGTGAGGGCGCGGAGGGCTGGGCGCGCGGGGAGGGGGCCGCGGGCGGCGGGCCGGGCGGGTGCAGAAGTTGCCGAGCGGTGCGGCGCGAGTGGGGACGCGGGGGAGGTGGGCGAGCCGGGAGGAGGCGGGGGCTTCCTCGGGGAGGGGTTTTGAGGTCGCGAGCGCAGCCCCAGCGCTCCCGATTGTGTCCAAGACAATTACCTTCGGAGTGGGGGGTTCGGGAGGGCGGCCGGGCGGGAGGCATCGGGCTGCTGGAAGGAGGTGTCAGGGGCCAGCATTCATTCCAGGGGTAAACTTCCCGCTGGCGTGTTTGTTGGGGGCTGGGGGGGGGGGGCGTCCGGGGTTTACCTATTTCATAGAGCTTTCGACTTAGCTCAAAACTTAACCGAGGCATATGTGGGGGGTAACAAAATTTCTCTGCTGGCTGCTGTTACCGTGCTGGTTTGTTTGTTTATCCCACATGCAGGGGAAGTGACACACGGAAGCGTCCACAGCTCCCACATTTCTTTTCTGGGCGGGGGGTGGGGGGTGGGGGTGGGGGCGTGGGGTGGTGGTGATGGAGATGTGTGTGTGCTCGTGGGGTGAGGGCAGTTAGGCCTGTGTTAGGATCCTTCCAGTTCCCCCAGGGAAGGAGGAAAAGTTAATGGGTGGGAGAGAGCCAGGGAGAGTCTGCGTGGGAGATGGCTACTGTTGCTACACTGTGCGAATTAGTTGTAACTGTTGTAATGAGGACCCAGGCTGGCCAGTAAGTGACCCCTTTTTAACCTTTTGTTTTAGAACGTCGACTTTAATTGGAAAAGTAGAAACCTACTGATTTTTAGTAAGGGAAGAAAATAAGTCAGTATTTATTTCCTGTGCAGTTGCTTCTTGTGAATGACATTTGCCCCCAGAGAGGAGAAGATGTTGAGCTCCATCTAAGGAATACTTAGGATACTTTTAAAAATGGAAAATATCTACTTTTTAAAGCCTTGTATGTATTTGTGAGGAATATTTGCTTTCCCTGTAAATAGAGAGTGGAAGAAAACGCACATTGTAAGAATAAGGCAGGATTAGAAAGATTATGAGGCCCGTTTAAGAAAACGTTTTCCACCAAAAATCAGTTACAGTTTGTGACATTCTTAATAACTTTTGGGGGGGGGTGGGGTGGAGAGATGTGCTTAGTGTATTTCATAACTATTCCCAAACTTTGATCCAACCGTGTTCTGTATTTTGTATATATTAGCTTTTATAGTTGGACATAAAGTGAAAATTGTATTTATGGGCATTGAAAGAAAGATACCAAATAAACTGCATTGGCATAGATTCTCTGAAGTGTACAGACTCATTTGCTTACAGGGAGCTTGCATTTCTGGAAACGCATCAGGTATTAGTTTTTATTAGAATGGGGACAGAAAGGTTAATTTTAATGTTGATATATATATATGAGACATTTGAGGGGAGGGGATCTTAGAAAATGATCATCTTCAGGGACGATTTATTGTGCTCTTTGCCCTCCTCTGCTATTCATCAATGCAAAAATTAATGTATTATGTAATTATTGACATTTTCATTGTTAGATTTCCAAGCGGTAACCATTAACAAAATCTTCAACACAGGCTGTTCATTTATTCCTTCAACTAAAATGCCTGGGATTAAAATCAAGGAATAGTGTAGTTCAACCTGGACCTTAACCATGTACAAAGGACCTTTACTCTGTGGTTAGAATGGAAGAGTGGGTAGACTATGAAGATGAGTCAGACCCTGGAGCTGTCTTAAAGGGAGACTTGGACATGCAGAGATAATTGCAACACAGGACACCTGTGGGATTTATTAGAGGTGCATGGAAGCCTGGTGTGTGTGTGTGTGTGTGTGTGTGTGTGTGTGTGTATGAGAGACAAAGAGATACTAATTTTTGAGTGAGGAATTATGAATGACTTTAGAGCTGCTAACACTGCATTTGGGCATTAAAATATGTTAAGGGACAAAACGGGGGCTTCGTGTATGTGTGTGTGGTTGGGTATTATAGGGCCTGTTGGTCTGGACATGAGGCTCCTGTGCCACGAGGTCTGTGTGGGAGAGGAAGCTGTGAAAATAGGTGGATATCAGGCCATGGAAGTCCAGAATGCCTTGTATTTAAAAATGAGTCAGTTTGAGATATAAAGGTCCAAATGTACAGATTTTATGCTTAGAGGAAGTAGGTCGGCAAATAAGGATGGTAAGTTGAAGGAAACAAACTATAACAGAATAATCAAGTTGTTACCATTCCTGCTGATGGGAGGAAAGCAGAAAAGTATGTAATCTAAAACACTTCATACCTGGCTTTGTCCTGTTTCTTTACTTGAACTTGAATATGGGTGTGTCTGGGAATCTGGTAATTGGTTTTATATGAAATGAATCCAGGTTGTGAAAAACGTGCCTTTGGAAGAAATGGGAAGCTCTCTGTTTATTTCTCTATCCCCTCTGTAATACCCTGCATACTGGCAATAGACTGTTATTCTACTGTAGTTTATAGATTCAGAGATTTTCAGAATGGAACAAATGGTTGTTTAAATTTCAGAGGGTTTCCCAAAAGGATGTATCAGACTATAGAGGGAATGCTGAAGTATTAAATTTTTTAAGTGTTTATTTTTGACAGAGAGAGAGAGAGAGAGGGAGAGAGAGCGCAAGAGTGAGTGTGGGAGGGCAGAGAGAGAGGGAGAGACAGAATCCAAAGCAGGCTCCAGGCTCTGAGCTGTCGGCCCAAAGCCCAACGCTGGACTCGAACCCGTGAACCATGAGATCATGACCTGAGCTGAAGTCGGGCACCTGACTGATTGAGCCACCCAGGTACCCCTTGGGAATGCTGAAATATCAAACAACAAAGCAAAACACAGGTCATTGGAGAGTTAGATTATTGTTAATACATTCGTAGTGAGATTCATTATGAGTAAACTGAAATGTAAGGAATCTGTGTACAAAGAGAATTGACCATAACAGTTGAATGATAAAATGGGAAATGTCCACAGTTCTGGGTAATATGTGTAAGGTTTTTAGTTATCTTAAATATTAAATGGCCCTAAAATAATTTAACCCCTAAATTTATCCCTATCAAAGAAGTGCTTCAAAAAATATTACCCTCACGGTAACAGTATTTAAGTCTATGTATACTCACGAGGAAAATTGTTTGATGGGTTTTACTAACTATTGCCCTCTAGGTTTCCAAAAAGGATTAACATTATAACTGAATCTGTATTGTCTTGAACGTTCCGGTGATAACACTAATACCTGTTAAAATTTATTAAGTGCCTACTTTGTAGAGGGAGTATATAGATCATACTTTTAAGACAACTCTATTTGTTAGATGGTGTATAACCCTTGTTTTTGACATTAGGAAATGGTCATCCAGAGTTTAAGCAACCTTTTTAAGATCTAGCAGAGTGCATATTTAAATCATTTTCTTTTTCTGCCTTCAGATTCTTAAACTCACCAATCTGTTGTTTTTATAATTTTCCATCCTCTTTGTGTTTTCTCGAGTGGTTGGTGCTTAGTGGTATTGATTGGTGTTGTTAGTGTATTTCTGGGTGTCAGTTCTTCAAAATGTAACTTCTTTTTTGGAAATGGCAGTTTTTGAGGTGTCTGTAGTTCTCTAATTATAGAGATTCCATAGGAACAGACAGAATGGTTCTGCCGACAAAAGCTACTTCAGAGTATACTTTATTGAGTCTCTAGGACAGAACTGTATTTGGGATTATTAATGTGTAGAATCAAGTGTGTATTATCCATTAATGTGAAGTGAGTTTGGAAAGGCTCTGTATTACTCAGAAAATAAGGAATGAGAGAGAGATGTGAGGACAGATAAGTTTTGCAGACACTTTGGAGCCTGCTATTAGGCGTGTTTTTTCTAGCTCCTTGCTCAAAGCTGGGATTTAGAAACCATAAATGTTTGGGTTTCCTCCTATAAGGGGAGCTCAAGAAGGTGTGTGGTGATTTGTCCTTAAACTATAGTAAGCGACTGGTTATATTCTCTCCTGCCAGTCCCTGCCCATCTTTTTTTTAATGAGAAAAGAATTCTTGACAATGATCTTGAAGTGGGTATGTATTTGGTAGAAAAGACACACACTTTGGTCATTTCCTTTACTAATGATAGATGTATCATACAG